AGCTATATTCACCCTCATTTTTTAAAAATGGAATGAAAATTTGAAGAGGTTCAATAACTTTCTCATGGTTCCACAAAAGTAACACCAAGCACCAAAGTCATTCTCTCCTTATCATTGCTATAGGATTCATCTGGAGGACAGAGATTGGAAATTTAGAAAAAGTCGAGTATTGAATTCTGCAAGGCAATTTACCTGTACATCATGACAGAGGAAAGGTTTTACTAAGTTGTTCAATTTACCTTTGGGATGGAGCTGACATTTAGAAACCCTAAGCCCAGAAAATCGGGTTTCTGTTATACATGGAGGGAATTATAAACACCAGGAAAGTTCTGTGGCCAGTAGCTAAGTCTGATGATTTTCTTAGCCATGCTAACTGAATGCATACTAAGAGAAAGCATAAGCTCAGAGGAGTTACCAGATTCTCTTAGAGAACAAAACCATCATTTAGTTGTTCTTAGAAATGAATGAGTAGGATTCCTATTCTCTTTATATCAACTTACCCAAATGCTGGGAACGTCAATTTACCTTTAACCCGAGTAATTGTCCACTCTGTCATTATTTTTCATTAGTTTCTATTAACCTTAACTGTGTTTTATGTTAGGTAAGGGTAGCTATTAATTCCATATTGTAACGAAGAAATTCAGCAACAGAGAGGAACCTCACTCAGTGTTTGTCATGCTGAGCATTAAAGGTCAAGTCATGATGAGAATTTTAAATTTTAGATTGCAAATTGCATCCCTGACTTATTCTTTATCCCAGATTCCACACTACTTCACATCAATTAGCATTCTTTCAAGTTTAACAATGAGTTAAATTTTGAAAAAAAAAAAAACCTAATCTAGCTTCACATGATTTTGAAATACATTACCTTAGTTAATGGTTTCATTAATCTTAAAATATCTTGTTATCTGTTAATGGAGTGTTCAGCAGGCAATTTCTAAGTAGCTTTTCTAAGCTTAATGTCATTTTGAAGTGTCATTTCATTCAGATATTTATATCGGGGAAGAGCAATTAGAAACTGCACTAACTCATCCTTGCCTAAAGTTGGATTGTGAGACTTTCTGAAGTCTCAGATTTCTAAAGTATGTATTCATGTTCATGTATGTTAACTTGGGTAGGCATTCTAGGGAACATAGATTTAATGGTTGTTTTGTGGAAATTTATGTATGTTTCAAGAGTTTTTTTGGGTCTCATCCTTTTTGCATATTTTTTACAGCATCAGATAGTATAGATTGTATACATTAAGAATACACTATGACAACTTGTCCAATATATAATGAATATCACAGTCAAACTACCCCATCTGGAGTCAGTTTAGTGGTTCAGTATGCCAAGCATCCCATATGAGTACGAGTTCTAGTCCAGTTCCAGTCCTAGTGGCTGATCAACTTCCTTTCCAGCTCCCTGCTTATGGCCTGGGAAGTCAGCAGCAGATGCCTGAAGTCCTTGGGACTCTGCAGCCACCTGGAAAGCCCAAAGGAAGCTTCTGGCTCCTGACTTTGGGTCAGCCTATCCCTGGTCATTTGGGGAGAGAATCGGCAGTCAAAAGATCCTTTCTGTAAATCTACCTTTAAATAAGAAAATGAATCTTAGGAAAAACTTATCACATCTATCATCATCCATGCCATGAAACATTGATGGAAAATTTCAGTAAGACTCAAATAAACTAGAAGATAATATGTTTATAGACTTGGAGAATGAATAGTGTTAAAATGTGTATGCTACTCAAATAGATTCAAAGGAATCAGTGTGATTTCTGCAAAAGTTCCAATGGCATATTTTTCCATATAGTCTTTAAAAATACTAAGAATCATGTAGAACTGATGATTGCCTTGATTAGCATAGTCTAAGAACAGTGCTGGAGTAATTTTTATGACTTACAGTAATCAAAACAGTATTGGACTAGCTTGAAAAGCAGTCCTTCTTTCAGTCTAAATTCTCTCTAATGGCAAGTTAGCTACCAAGCTTTGGAGTCTAGAACCTGTCTTTTACAGTTAGGCAATTCCACTGTATAGGATGTGATACTGCATTTGTAAATGAGGAAGATTTCAACATTATTGACAACCATTTAAAACTGTAAAGATAGTAACAGGATTGCAGAACTGAACAATCTTGCAGTTCTAAGCTCAAGTAAGACTGACACGTTGTTCTCTCTGGCTTCTCTTCTGTGCTCTCATTTGCACACATGTTTGCCCCTTCCACTCGCTTATTTTTTGCAGTTCAGGATGTTTCAGCAGCAAATGGAGCCACTCTTCCCTAATCAATATCAGAAGTTAAAATACAAACAGATTTCTAAATTTCTAAAATAGAAGTCCTGACCATATCCCTTCTAGACAACACCGAGAAGACCATGAGGGTCACTTGTAAAAAGTTGAATTGTGATACGTTTTTAATATTTTATTTGAAATACAGAAAGAGAAATTGATTCCATCTGCTGGTCCCCTCCTCAAATGTCCTCAATAGCCCCTGGTCTGGGCCAGGAGCATTTGGGTCTCCCACATGGGTTGATATGGATTACAAGTATCCAAATACTTGAGCCATTATGTGCTGCCTCCCAGGATATATTAACAAGCAGCTAGATCAAAAATGGAACTGGTAAAGCATGAACTAGACACTCTGATATGATATACACTCATCATAAAAACTGGCTTTTATTACAGCCAAGAGGGTGTAATATATTAGTTGACTCCTGTGAGTTATAAACTCATCAGCATATTGAGGCACAATCATTGTTCACTAATTTTTTGAGGATATGGCCTAGTTTTCACAGAGAACCACCTAAGTCCCATTAGAGAAAGCAGGAGAGGGAGCAATGTATCTGATTTGTTGAATGTCTGCATGAAAGATAATTTTAGAAAAGGTAAAAATAGAACTTTTAAACTATTTTAAATATGACTTTTTATAATAGTGTTTATTTCATTTTAATTCATATTAATATATTTTATAAATATATTATAGCATGTGATATTAAAATGCTTGAGATGTGCTCTTCTATTTTAAATTATTATTGATTTCTTTTAATTAACAAAAACTGTACTTTTGTATACAATGTGATATTTGAATGTACTTATGCCTTATGGAATGGCTAAGTCAAACTAATTAATATGTATATTACTATAGTTATTTTTCATGATGAGAACACTTAAAATCTGCTCTTAGCAAGTTTCAAGTGTGTAGCACCTTACTATTCATTATAATTACTATGCTGGATGGTTAATTCTTGAAAGTTCTCCTCCTGCCTAACTGAAATTCTATAGTCATTTGGTCAACGTTTTCTCCACTGACACTGCCACAGTCCGTAGTAACCATTCTACTCTGCTGCTTTGAATTCTGGAGTTCACATATAAGTGAAATTAAGTCATACTTGTGGTTATCTTCCCAAATTCAATTTGATTTAACATCATGTCCTCCCACTTTGTGTGGCCAAAAATTACAAGATTTTCTTCTCTCAACAGTAGGATTCTGTTGTGTACATATGCCATGTGAAGAAACAAACCATTGAACACCCATTTGGACTGATTCTATGTCTTGATAATTGTGAATTATACTGCAATGAATGTGAGAGTGCACATGTCTCTTTAATATGCTTGATTTTGTTTTCCGTGGGCATTTGCACATCCATGATATTGAGGAATCATATATTCTAATTTTCTGAGGAAGCTCTGTGCCACTTAGCATAAAGCTTTGTTTATTTATGCTCTGACTAGTAGTGCATAAAGATTCCCTTAGCCTTATCACCAATACTTTCATCATTTAGATAACAGAAATTCTAATGGATATGAGATTTTCCATATTATTTATTTGTTATATTGTTCATAAGATTCTATTTCTTTGGGGCCAGTAAATTGTGCTTTATTTTTGCTTTCTTGATAATATCACATTTCCCTGGTAGTTCACGAGCCATAAGGTCATATTTTTGTGTTTGGGCTTTTAAGCAAAGTAAGCATTTATTCTGCTTATTACAAACTAACCATTAGAAAAACCCACCACCATCAGCCAGACATTCTAGATAAGTCATCTGGTCTAGCTTGTAAGAGTTTTGTTTCTGGAGACCTTAGGTAGACCAATCGGATGCCTGGGTCTAGGAAGTTTGCCCTGGCTCCTAAGTCCACTGGAGTTTGTCTCCTGTGCTAGCCTTGGTTCTTGGACAGGCAGCTGCAACATTGGCATCAATGTCCACTGGGAATTGCCTAGAGCCTTGATCTGTGAGGGCAAACCTGGTCCTAGAGCAGTCCTTGAGCCTGTATTTTCAGGGATCCAAATAGCATAATAAAAATTGAAACCTAGCTATATGGGACTAACCTTAGAGTCTTTTCTATCATCTTTAACAAATACCTTCTTAATTCTTACTGTGTCCAGGTACTGCACTCTTCTACCTGGAGGCTTTAGATCTTCTGAATGCATTTTTATTTGTGGATAGTTTCCAGATCAGTAGTGAAGTGAGGGGAACAGGACCAACAAGTCTTATTCTTCTATCTTGCTGTTGTCAGTTTCTGAGAAATATTGTAAACAAAAAATCTTCCTGAGGTTGCTACAGTATCACTGAAATGGATTAAGGGAATGTTCGAAAAGTGAGTTTGGGGAGCTATGTCGTTACCTACCCAAAGTACAAACCCTGTATGAGCAAAGTCACACACTCATCACGTTAGAGTAGGATTACTACACGTAGTATCAGACGTGTAGGTGAGATTGGGCAAAAGTAGGACCTTCTGTTTCCTCACAGAACTAGTTACTCTGATATTTTATTTGGCTATAACATTGTCTTACACGACACATTTAAATGCAAACTTTAAATGCAAGAATTTTATTATTTCTCCCAAACTCTAGGGCATGGAGTGCACAGAAGTACTTGCAAAGAGTGAGGACGAGGGAAGAGATGAGAATAAATTGCTCAATGGAGGACATGGGGAAAGTAGTCCCCTCCTGTTTTAGTCTTCAACTGGGTTCCACATCCATGATGAGTTGCATAGTAACCTTGGGCTGTAGGTTATCCACCTACCCTAGTACCTGAATTTGCAGACATAGGGTAGCTCTACGTCGCAGTTATAATCTCTCCATTTAAGAAATTCTGGGGAGAAACAGAAGAAGCAAAGTCAATGAGGTTAAGGAAGCTTATGAACACAACAAATGGACATCTGGATTCATATGAAGGTCATAAAACATCTCCTTCAACTTCACTAGAGTACTATTCTAGGATTAGGCAACTCAAACAAAGGGTGAAAGAAGAAAGACCAATATTGCAGTAGTTCAGGAGAATTCCACAAAGGTTAGAGCTCAGAATCAGGGGTGAAGTGTGGAAAAGAAAAGGCAGAAGTGGCGCCATTGTTTCTTACTTGAGCTTCTTGTCAGGCTTGCACAGAAACCTCTGTTCCCAGCATTAGAAGCGACTGTATCCCAGGCAGTGTAACGCAGCAAATTGGTGCTACTCCACTCCCATCCTTCTCCGTTGGGTTCACTTCCCTAGATAGTAGAGAGTGCAGCTGAAAAGAAAATGAATCCTAGAGGGCACCTTGAACAAGCCCTTCAGCTGGGACACTTGATTCCCTCCCTGGCCACATTGAATTTGGCCTGCTTTTCCAGTCTGCTCCTCTGGAAAGATCCTCATTATATGATCACTTGTCTTTGTTCAGCAAATCCCCCAAAATAACCACAAAATCTTTAGGATCACTCAATAACTGGGGTTGCACTTGTATTAAAATCTACATTATATATAGAATATATTTCATGTGGATCAAACATTGATCTTTATTTACAGCTGTTTCAAAATGACATATGCAGACTCCCTTAAAAACCTGAAAACTAATGTGCAAGATATTATAGGAAACTTATATAAAGACCATGACATGACGCCAAATATCTGTAGAGAAGGAACCTCCACAATAATCTACTGTTTAACCGGCCATAGATTGTGCAGCTCTTAGAGGTTCTTCTTTGGCAGGCTTAGGGGAGTGGACTAGGTAGACAACTGATAGTAGAGAGGTAAGGAGAGAAAATGGAATTCTACCTCTGTGGGGTCCGAGAGCCCAAGCCAAACAAACTGGTGGGAGTTCACAGTGCTTCTGATCAGGGAGGATACGAAGGATGCCTCAGCCCTATTGAGCACAGACACGAGATTTCCCAAGGGCATCTTCTGACAGGCCAGCTGCAGGAGGAAGGAGAGAATGAGAACAAACCTGAGGTTCCATTGCATGGCAGAAGATGAGAATGAGTGTGTGGAAAATAAGGGTATTTTCATTCCAAGGGAACTTGGGTTAATGGAGACTGCTTACAGTATGACCCGAAAGAAACATTGCTCTATGATCCCCAGGTGAATTTCTAACCACTTACTTCTGCATCCATCCAGGTTTTTTGTGTTTTAAAGACAGCATAACAGAAGGAACCATAGGTCTTTGTGCCTTTGGGACAATTGATGCTTGGAGAACCTAATTCTGACTGGGAGTCATCACCTGTGACAGAAAGACATAAAAGGAATGGGACAAGGGAAAGAGTGGGAATTGGAGGGAGGTCACACAGGGATTAGCCATGGATGTTATTTGCAGAGGAAGACCATGTTCCTGAAGACCTCTCACTTTTCTCATGCTTTCAGGAATTCTTGATTGCAAAATAGCACTACTAAGGAGAATTATTACTTTAAATCTCCCTCCTAAACCAACAGTGCAACACTTCCTCACCCTGGGATGACTACTTCTATAGTGAGTCTTCTCATCTCACTCCCTCTGTTGTTGTTGTTGTTGTTTTTTAATTCTGCACTTACAGTTTTCCTCTTCTGTGCTCTAGCATTAATTAGAGGCTTCTGACAAATTGAGAAATCATGTCATTCCTTTACTAATGGGTCATACCTCCCAGCACAGGTTAACCTGTAGGAAGTCAAGATGATGCAGGACTTGCTGGCAGTTACCCGTGTGCAGATACAAGTCATCATTCACAGATGAGACTCACTGGAGCCTCCCTCCTCTTACTAATCTTGAACTGTTATAGAAAACTCAGTGCTAATGGTAGAGACTCACCTTGGACCTGAGACAGGATCATCAGGCAGGACAGCAGCATCCAGGACACTCTGGGGAGGGCTGTTGCAAGCAGCATGATCTTAAGACTTGTAGAAATAATCTGAATTCACCTAAGGAAGAACGGTCACAGTTGGAATGCAGAGCTTTACTGCCTCTTTTATTTTGTCTAGTGCTCCAGGAAAGCATCAGATTTGGTCCCTCTTTCCCCTTCTATAATTTTGGAAGCAACTGGAAAATCTGCGCACCTTGTCGCTTCTCAGACCCCCACAGAGCAGCCTGAGGCACAAAGTTCCCACATTATCTGAGAAAAAACACCCTCCTGTACCCTCCCACGTAAAGTGTGAGGTAAAACCTTTGCCAGGGCAGCCATTCTCAATCATCTCCCCGTTACCTCTCCTGCAGGGATCCACAATGATTCATCAGGGCAGCAAAGACTGAGCTTTTTATAAAAGCATCTGAGGGAGGGGCATGGAAACCCATAGCAGAAAAGTATAGGTGGGACAGGTGTCATGGGTAGGGCCTGGCATTGTTTCAAGGCAATTACCACCACAGGGAAGGGATTCTTCCTGGCCAATTTGTGGCTTGATACACATGTTGTCTCTTTCTGGTAATAGGCCAACTTGTTCAGCAGGACAGGTAAACATAATCTTTGCAGCCTTGTTCTCGGTTGGGGTTTTAGACATCAAATGTGATATTAAAGCCTTTGAACATCTACAGAATGTTTTCTTGTTGGGGGGGGGGAAAGATAGGTATTTCTTTTTAGCAAATCTAGTTAGAGTAAATAAGTGACAATGTTCTGTAGAGTTGACTACAGCAATTGCAAGGAACAAATAGTTTAGGGCACACAAACAATGGCAGCTAAGAATAGGAATGATAGTTCAGGATTTTAGCTTCAACATGGTGGCTATTTAAAAAACAAATAAAAATGTAAAAAATATATAAAAACACAAATATCATGATACAAAAATTTGACAGATTAACCAAGTTCTTTTTTTAAAAGACATTTATTTTATTGGAAAGGCAGATTTACAGACAGAGAAAGATATTCCATTTGCTGGTTCACCTTCCAAGTGCCACTATAGGCTGGAGCTGGGGCAATCTAAAGCCAGAAGGCAGGAGATTTTTTAGCTCTCCCATACAAGTGCAGGGTTCCAATGCTTTGGGTCTCCCTCGACTGCTTTCCCAGGCCACAAGCAGGGAACTGGACAGGATGTGGAGCAGATGGGATATGAACTGGTACCCATTTGGAATTCTAGTGTATTATACAAATTGAGGGGTTAGACAAATTGAGCCATCATGTCAGGCCCAAATTAAGCAAGATCTTTAAAAAAAAAAATCAGATGAATAAGCTTGCATTGCCAGTGTTCTCTGACATGGAGCTTTCCTGATTTTAATGATAGTGTGACAGAATAAAAGGCAATATAGGAAACAAATATCAGGAAGATAAATCAGGCAAGTAGGATGAAAAAATGAATAAACATTAAAGAAGGGCCTAGCAGGGGCCAACATGGTGATATAGAAGGCTAATCCTCTGCTTGTGGAGCCAGCATCCAATATGAGTGCCAGTTCATGTCCTAGCTACTCCACTATCCAATATGACTGTTTCTAAAACAACAAGAAAATTAAATATGGTAATCATTATTCTATGTCAGCAAGTCATGACTTCAGACTTAAGAAATGTGACCAAATAACCAGCCTGTATCCATCACAGCAGAGGCTGAAGTTTTCAGAGTAGAAAACTTATGTGTAAGGTGGTCTGTTGCAGACCACATGCAGAAGAGCCTGGTATCCCAAAAGGTAGAGGCCAAGTTACAGGTGGCCTATTATTATCTCTATTGTCCTGTTCAGTCTACCCTTGTCTTGCCATCCTCCCACAGGTGGCCCACTTACAGGTGGAAGTTAGTCAAGCTTAGGTCTTCTCATGAAAGTTAATTACAACTGTTTTCTGTTTTTAATGGAAATAACATATTCATTAAACTTAATTTTTAGTATCTCAAACTGTACTATGAGACTGTTTCATTCCTATCAAAACTTACTTATTTTTAAGAGAATTTTTTTTTTTTAATTTGAAAACTAACTTGAAGAGACAGAGAGGTCTTCCATTCGTGGCTCATTCTCCAAATGGCCACAACAGCCAGAGCTGAGCTGATCCAAAGCTGAGAGCCAGGAGTTTCTTCCCAGTCTCCCACATAAGTGCAGGGGCCCACAGACTTGGGCCATTCCAAAAGCAGGGAGCTGGATTAGAAATGGAGCAGCCTGGGCCTGGCATGATAGTGTAGGGGTTAAAGTCCTTGCCTTGTATGTGCCAGAATCCCATATGGGCGCCGATTCTAATCCCAACAACCCTGCTTCCCATCCAGCTCCCTGCTTGTGGTCTGGAAAAGCAGTCGAGGATGGCCCAAAGCTTTGGGACTCTGCACCCGCATGGGAGACCTGGAAGAGCTCCTGGCTTCAGATTGGCTCAGCACCAGCTGTTGAGGCTGCTTAGGGAGTGAATCATCGGATGGAAGATCTTCCTCTCTCTCTCCTCCTCTATGTACATCTGCCTTTCCAATAAAAATAAATCTTAAAAAAAAAAAAAAGAAATGGAGCAGCCAAAATATGGCACTCCTTATGGGATGCTAGCATGGCAGGGTAAGGAGTAACCTGCTGTGCCAGCATGACACCACCCTGATCAATCCTTATTAACCTATTAGTATTGAGATGTAGGTTCATTTGCAATGCTTATTAAGTAGTTTTGAGTTGTTTAAAATCAATCCATTTGTAATCTGAGATAACTCCTTACTTGAAGTAAACAACATTGAGTTTCAAGAAAATTTCTTTCTCCAAAAGATGAACATCTAACTTGTCCTTTTTGATCCCTATAATTTTCTGAATGAAATAGTGTTTGCAGGTAAGCTTTAGTTCTTCCTAGAATTAGCACGGGGGATTGATCACAGTCTACTCTGTTCGTTCTAACAATGGAGATATGTGGAGGGTTCCTGGGAGATGGTTCAGCAGGCTCATGCCAAAGTTAGCTCTGAATTGTATCTTATTAATATTCATCACTAAACCACCTTTCTTTGATATATATTAACCACATACTTAGGTTGTTATTTTGGTCCTTTCATCTTACTGTAATCCTAGAAGATGAGAGAAAAAGATGAAATGAGGTTCCATGTACCTTGTAAAATATCACAGTGATAAAACGTCAAACACCTGCACCGAACAAGGAAATAGCCAAAGAGTTGAAAAGCTGACACCACAGCTACTGAAAGTTTAAAATTTAGTCAGTGACATAAACAATGAACACTGTCTTATGACTTATAAAATTATCAGGGGCAATAAAGTCTTTATCAGAATATGCTGCCAATGTTTGGTTTAGTCTTGCAATGATCTTGGAGTATCAACTATTGTATAAAGCTATTGTTGTCTTTTTTTCTTTTAGATAAGCTATTCACAATGAAAGGTGTTCTTTATTGAAGAAAAGGAGTAGGCTTATGTTTGTAACTGATTATCATAAGTTACACTCAGCTAATTGATGAAAGCTCTAAACCTGAATGGCATCTGCAAAGTTCACACTTTTCTTGATAACAAATAAAAATGAAAAATACCTTCACAGCCATTTTATTAATTTTAACATTGAATACATTAAATGTACATAAAATTTTGCCATCTTTCTCTTAAAATTAGTTATTTAAAAAATAAATACATACAAAGAGTAAGCTAAATAATATAGGGGCTGGCATGTGGTATAGTAGGTTGAGCCATCATTTATGATACCATTATCCCATTTGGGCAGCAGATGGCTGCTTCCATTCCATCCTGGCTCTCTGATAAAGGCCTAGGAAAAGCAGCACAAGATGACCTGAGTGATCGGGCCCCTGCTTCCCAAGTGACAGAGCAGGGTGAAGCTTCTAAGTCCTGGCTTCAGCCTGGTGTAACCCTGGCCACAATGGCCATCTGGGAAGAAAATCAGGATGAAATATCCTCCCGCTTCACCCTCTCTTTCTCATTAAGGAAACACTAGAATCTCTTAACACCACTTTCCCTCTTTCATATGCCAACCAAATAGTGCATTGCGTATTACCTGATGTTAGGTTTCACCCATGTTAATATCAAATCCTCAGTTCTCCTTCAGCATATGTCTCAAGAAAATACACTGACATTTGAAAATAAAAAAAATAAGAAAAAAAAATAAAAGAAAAACGGATGGATCCACACCAGTTTCAGTGTTTAAATGCTTGCTCCTGAGCCCCTATCTCTAATTCCTGACATGGTATTCGTGAGGTCCTCCTAAGCACATCTTCCCTTTGATTGTCCTTACACATCATGAACCATCCTCACTCAGGAGAATGGTAAGAGAATAGCACAAAAGAAGACTGCCTCAGTTATTGTCTCACAGGAGTGAGCTTTCACATGGAAAATGCAGTGAGCAAAGCGAGGTTGATTTAAGTTAGAATTTGCTATCCTGGCAGCAAGAAGAGTGGTTCCAAGAGAAGACAGACACGAGGAAATAAGAAATGGTGTGTTTTAAGCACAGTTCTGGTGAGCAGAAGAGCTAGCAATCAGCCAGAGGGAGAAAACCCATTATGAGGCTGGGATTGTAACCCTGCTTAACCCGCTCGAGATGTGTGTGATTAATAACTTCTTTTCATTCTCATGAGAAAACTAGAAACACACAAGGGTGGGATGGTGCTTTCGTCTTGCTAAAGACACCTGGTGGGCAGAAGCAAGCATTTTTTTTTTTTTTAATTCAAAATGGGAGGTGAATCAAACTTCTTGTTAGCCTATCACAGTTGTTCTTACATATAAGAAAGGTTTTGTTCCCTTTCCCTCACCCTTTACGGCCTCATTTTCCCCTCCCACCAATTTCCACCATATTACAAGAGTAACTGAAGTTTAACATTCTGCTATCTAAGTTCGTCATGGCATTGTAGATATAGACAAAGGTAGGAAACCTAGTATTGCATCGACAAGGTGCATTTAGCTGTTTTATTGGGAGTCCTCCATTTATTTGGGAGTAGAAATACCTGCTGCAACGTATGTTCACTTTCCCATATCCTACTTCTGAGTATATAGTTCATCTATGGGAAT